ACTCATACTTCTTCAATGAATAACAATACTCTTATATGTGATCTTAAACACAATAACACATTAAACACAAATATATTAACTACACTATAAATCCTGGCAACATTTTCAAGGAAGGATACACGCCATATTGTAAATTACCGCGTAATTTTATGTTACGTCATAATTACAACCCTCCCATTAAGTGAAGTCACAAGGACGTGTTGGAAATTAAATACACAACACAACACGCTACGATCAACACAAACAGTTATCTTGACAAACAGTCACAAGGACTCAAATTCAACTTTATAGCTAAACAAAAATTATGCGAAGTTGAATTGGAACGCTGATGCTGTTTGTTCATCAAGGAGACTTTATGTTTATTGTTCCCTCGATTTTAATGCCATTCAAAGATTTATACGAGGAAACTCGTAAAGTAATGATGCCCTCACAAATGTTAATTTTCTTCTTCAACGTTAAAATCAAAGTCAAACGGCATTTGTTTCAATTAGGTCGTTACAAGCACTTTTGAAATTCAAAGTTTTGTTCCTGTTTGAAGGATGATAAAAATGTAACGAACTTATTTTAACGTTTTTCTCTCTAACATAACATCGCGCCTTTTATCTCCGATCCGGTAGACAGAGGTCCATATTATTATTACGGCGCTTAATGCCCTTAATTTATGTTATGAGTCACATGTAATAGGGGGTGAGCCTATTGCCATACACCGGGCACATGTTCAGACTCCGTGCTACTACTGGAATTGTGTTTAAAAAAACAGTAGTACATTGCCCGACCCAGGAATCGAACCCGAGAACCCTTGCTGCAGAAGTCGCACTTGCGACCACTCGGCCAACAAGGCAGTCAAGTTTTTCTCTCTCTCTTATCGAAGATTTACTTTGCTGAATTTCAAAAAATATTAAAATATTTTAAACTTTGCTCTATAGAAATTTTGAATGAATTAAGTTTAGATTGATTAATTAAGTGCTTTGCATTTTCTTCTATAATTATTTAGTTGTTGAATATGTTAAATAGTTACTCAACCAACAATCTTAGTTAATTCTCATTCTCATTCTAAAGATCCAACGGACATAACGTATCACTTCAATATTTCTCCACCTCCTCACAATCACCCTTCTGCCGTTAATCAAGCAACTTTAATTGCAAGTAATTTACCGAAGCACGCAATTATACGAGCGACTTGGAAAGTTCTATAGCATGGCTCGAAGTGGTCATCAAACGTTCATTTCACAGGTTATTACGAGCCATCCTTTCGTTTGCCGCTTGCCACGACAGTGACACATGGTCTAATTTATACACTCACCATGTTTACTATGCGGACGAAAACATCTTTATACCGACCACATAAAGTCTTATTTACCCTGTTACAAAAGCACGTGAATAGAGATTTAAGTTTGTGTGGCGCTCTCACCGAGCCCATTGTCCCTGTAGATATAAAACTGCGACAGGCGGCTGGTCGAGTGAGTTCTTCACGCCGTGATTTATATCAAGTCACACACGCGAATAATTTCACTTTTTTGACAATATTTATTATCTTCTTTTTTTTTTGTTGTATGTCATTTTTGGACCTTTTTGTATTCTGTTAGCTTGACACTAACTATTTGCTTTACAAAGGTTGAAACTTTTGAGTCAAGAAGTAATTATTTACCTACGGCGTAGCCTTTCAATCTCAAATGTCTACGGCGTAGCATATTACTACGAGATATCCGTAGCAAATTGTGTAGCAGCGTTAAACGTTTACTTTGTATTATACCCTCAGATTCATGCTCAAGGTGGACAGATAACCTAATAGGGGGTAAGGGAGCCGCTGGATGCAAGTTGCTTTAAACCTTTCGATCTTGACGTCTTTGGGAAAGTCCAATCCAATTCCAGTCCGGAGGCCCAATTTCCCTCCCCTTCCCCAATCTCCCCAATCCCTGAATCCCCAACAATCCTCAAACTCCTAATCCACAAATAGCCGGTAACGCACTTGTAACGCCTGTGGTGTTCCAGGTGTCCATGGGCGACGCCGATTGCTTTCCATCAGGTGATCCGTCTGCTCGTTTACCGGCTTATGCCATAAAAAAAAAAAAAAAAAAGGACCATGTTCACCCACTGGTGTCACTACGTCTTGTGGCTGATATGATGACACTACAAAATTAGATATTGTCTATTAAAAATTCAGATGAGAAGCATTCTTATTTTAAGTCATTAGTTTGATAGCCACTTCGTTGTGTAACCACAGGCTTCAGCTTCGCCACAAACATCAAAAATTCCACTGCATTGCAATCGATTATCTAAATTAAGAAATTAGGTTGAAAGCATACTATGAGGCTGTTTAAATATTAAATTGAGTTCAAAAGTTTATTTTTCGCTACGGGAGAATTCTATAATTGAAATATTTTAGGCAACAGCTCAACGTCGGGGATGATATTTATAAACCGTTTATATTTTATGACAAGCAATCTGATAGTGCTTTGCATGACATTTTAGCCTATTTTAATTAACATTTTTAATTCAGTGTTTTATTATTTCAACATTTATTTTAGTAATATAGTATTATATTAATTACATTTCTTGACTTCACCTTTTGTCGTGTGAATGAGGTTACCGAAGGCCCAGTTACCCCCCTCACCAATCTCCCCGATCCCCAAATCCTCAATAATCTTCAAATTCCTTATCCCCAAAAGGCCGGCCTCTGGTGTTTAGGATGTACATGGGCGCCGATTGCTTACCATCGGGTAATCCGATAGCTCGTTTACCGGTTTATTCATAAAAAACAACATTACAAACTTCGTACTATCATTAAGAATTTCCAAATATACTCAAAATCACTTCGCCCTACCCGAAATACGAGAACTTGCGATCACACATCATAGTGGAAGTATATATAGTAGAATTATTGCACTGATATGTCTATGACAATAAACAAATAAGCGTAGCAACGTCATACACTAGTGTAGCATCATCCAACAATTGATCAGCACGTTTCGATAAACCTCGATTTATTTCCACTCCCACGGGTAAAATAAACACAGCCACACAATAACAGTATTTCTACATTTTGCATGACTTTCAGCTGAAGGGATTCGGAGTCGTATGTTATGTAAATCAACCTTTATATTTGTAAATACAAAGGCATATGGAATGAGTGATGTGGTTTCCGAATCTACTTTTTCTGTAAACGAAAACAAAAAATGTTATAAGTTATCTTGCTACTATACAACGATTGTACTTTTGAAGGAGTAAATATTTCTATCGGATAGTTATGCTAAAGGACTAAGCTGTATCTAATATTTAATTATATTATTTGTAGATCGGTGTCTCTATTCCTCTCTCTTCAACTGGATTTCGGTGTTACATTACCCTATAAAACAATGTAACAAAAAATTTGTAATGGAATTTCTTGCTCGTTCTTCTTCACGGGAATCTACACCTTGGTATGAGCAAATACCTTCATTTTTATTTTTTTTTCTTGACGTTCAAAATTGCTTTTCTTGTCTAATTGAAATAAATGATTTTGACTTTGAATTTATAGGTACAAGTGAAAGAAAGTTCAGGTACTTAAATTTGAGTAACACCAAAATCTTACCGAGTATGGTCCAAAAATTGCCGTACTTTTTATTACCGCAAAAGGATACAATAATTGTCTCCACTAAAAAAATCTGAAATAACTTATCCCCCATGCTAGTAATTTTTTTCTAACTGGCACATTGACTGACAGACGCGCAACTGAAATAAACCACGGAGGATTTGAAGTAAGAGTTCTGTTGATGATGTTCCCAGGTGGGCACACGAAGTATCACGGAAGTGTTTTATTTTATAGGTACTTTATTGATTTGGTAAGTGTTATCTTCGAATAACATGAATTTTTAACTTAGTTAGCTTTTGATAAAGCTTGAAAGGTAAATTCGAAACCACCAGAAGATACTTAGTATAATATTAATGTTGTTTATTCTCAAAATACAAATAAATGTGTAATTATTTTCATCTCATGATAGTTTTTATATTTCTATGTATATTTGCTTACGATTTATTACTTACATAACAGTACTACGGGCACTATCGAGTCTCAACTATCAAACATCGCGATAGCGTCAATAAACTCAATTGCCACTAACGGGAAAGATATAAAACTCCTTCGTCATTGCAAAAACAATAAACGTACTATCGGCCATAGCTACCCTTTTCTTTATTATGTTATAAACCAGTATCGAACAAGACAATCAGCAAAAACCTGATCCCATTTAACTTCGCGACGAGAGTTATAAAAGCATTTCAAACGAAATAATGGATTACGGAGAACACAAAAAAGAACCATACAATCGATACAATAGCCTGCAATACAAAGAAAAACCGACGCGATAAATGTAAATAAAAAAGGTCGAGATTTGCGATTTTCTTTCGATTTCCTTATTGACGGCCAACGTCACTGTTAATAATAGAATACCAACAGACGGACCGACCGAGCGCTTCTCCTAACAAGGACTAATTTAGCACGTCAACGGCTACTAACAAGACTAACAATCGTCCTTTCTTTGTTCACAGATCCCCGGCATCTTCTCTAACGCTTACTTTATTGGAAAACTTAACAAAAAGTTACTACAAACTTAAAACTGCTTCACTAATTACTTTTAATTCGACTTCGCTGTGAGTTGTGTTTAATAGTCGATGAAATTCCTAACTAATTTGTCCAACTTGGAAGATTGAGACCAACGTAAATGTTCCAGACCAGTTTAGTAGACGCTTAACATTCGACCGCTCCTTACGGATGCCCTCTGAATTATTAAGGCGGTCTAAACATCCACTCCAAAGACCGCCATCAGAGCTGCGGCTGAAATATTAGTGCTTCTATTATCCTTATGTTGTGCTTAACTGAATTTGATAGAGCCTGAAGTACCAGTAACCGAGTGAAATACTAATACGACAGTGTACAGTGAAAAGTGAAATGCATGTGAGTGTCCGGATTGTGTGCGAAAGAGTGCGGTTTCATTAGCGCAGCGAGAGCGTTTTGTGTAAAGCTGGGTGTGGAACGCCACGGCGTCGTCGGTGGAGGGCCGCGGTGCGGGCGGGGCGGACGATCCCGCGCCCTCGCCCGCGCCCGACGCGGAGGCGCCTGTTCGCCGTCGCCGCCACCGCCCGCTATATCGCCGACTCTTCCACTATGTCCGCACCGCGTGGACTGGCGTCAAGTTTGCATTAGGTATGGTTTTCAAACTAACTTGTTACTACATCATCTCCTTAATCATTATTTGTTTAAGACTTTACACTACTTACGTCAAAACATATTATGAACTTAACGTGAAGCCAGTAGTAGGAAATTGGCTTCACGTAAGTTAGACTTAAGTTAAATTTTGAGCGAAACTTTTCAATATAATTATAAGTACAAGCGCACAGAATAGAATGCATACGCTTATATTATGCAGTTTATGCATTATATGAAGATTTAATCTTGACATAACTCGGCAACTTTGTTCCTTACTAAACCCCGAGCTGAGCAAGTATCCGAGCGAAGCAGCGACGCGTATAGATCCTCGTAAGTAAGTTAGCGCGCCTGTTTATAAAACTCGGGCGAAGCGCGTAGGTACTAAACTGCCTACGAACAAAAGTTGTTCGGGCGTCCCCTAATATACGGACAAAGCTGAGCATTTAGTCGAAATTTCTGGAAATGAATTTTCAACTTTACACTTGGACGAATATTCGTAAGGTCGCGATGTACATTTGCGTAAGAATCGTCGGCTCCTTTGATGTTGCCAACATTTTCTTACTGTTTTCACAGTACGCTTGAGAATAAGTGGCCATAAGTTTTTGATGAGCCTAAACTTGCGCTAAAGTTTTTATGTGATACTTTACATCCAGACTTTTGTAGCAAAAGATTTTGATAAAAATTGTGAAATTATCTCTACTATATCATGTGAATGTTTTTATCCTAATATCGGTTCCAAGCATACGATTACAATCTTAATTACTTACTGTAGAAAGTTCGCTTTTGAATAATAAAACGTACGTTTTCCTTTTTGTTAATTGACTATCAAAATTGTCGGGAATAAAAAGCGGCTCCAATATAAAATCTTATTTCTTTTACTAAGAGACGGCTCTAATCCGGGTACGGTTTTATAATTTTGGAAATTCCGTTCGTAAATACGAGACGGTATACCTCAAAATGATATTTATTATAAGGTTGGAAGCTGAGAAGGGAATTTATTATGCGTACATAATCCAACGTGTTAAATGTCCCGAAAAGGTAGATAGCACTTCTCAAGTGAGAAATAAACTAGAAACATGAAATGTTCACATCATCAGCTCATATTTTGTCTCTCTTATCGTGTGTATGATTATTATCCAACACAAATAGGTCTTCCTAAGAAGTCTGATTTCATAGAATTTATATATTTCACATTATCAAATGTATTTCATTTAACTAACTGTCAAAATTCGAATGACGAATAAAATGCGGTCGAGTACACTGTGACGCCTAACTAAGGGTATTTTTTCTGTTATTTTTCAGTTTTTTTATTCAATGTTTTTTTACTTGTTGTTAAATTTTAAGTTGTATATATTTATTTTTTTTCTATCTCCTTTTGTAATGTTATGCATTATAAGTATTATCGTGAAATTTATTAATTTTTTTTTTATGTTGGGCACAATGTAAAATGTGTAAATTATTTTTTGACAGTCATTAAGAAATGTAGACTAGACGACCCATGTCTGACTCCTATTTCAGCTCCTTATAAGGGTATAAGGGTTGTCTGTAAGAGATCGTCTTGTGCGATAAGACCGCCCATTTTATACTATATTTATTTGTTTGCTGTCCTATGTGTTAAAAATGTGTTAGTTAGATACAAAGTCAAAATTGTTTTTATGCAATTCTTAAGTAAACTAGCATAATGTAACAAGTTGATTTGCGAGCTATTTTACTGTAAAATTACATTCATGCGCGTGTAAATAAAAAAATTGTAGTTGAATGTAAGAACTACGATTTTATTTCAATCATGTAATACCACTACATAACATAAACTTTACTTCGAGTAGGTATCCAAAACAAACTTATTATACGAATACGGAGTTTATTCGAGTGATAAAAATAAAGATATCAAAACAGTTACTTACGATTGGGTCCCTTGTTATCGGAACCTGCTCTTTATTACACAGTACAATAAGCTTGTAGATATGTTTTTTCTAAGAAATAAACTCGAGTAAAATACATTGCTATAGAAAATTTTCTTACGTAAAGTATCAAAACATTTTTCCTGGTTAGAAAAATTGTGTGTACCTAGTGTCGTGTTTTGTTTTTTTTTTAACGACGAGCGTCATATGCTTTTGCTTATTTTATAACATCGATTTAATTATTTTTAAGGTACAACAATGTTTAAATTACAGAGTGTTCTATAATTAGATCTTGTTTTTATAAACTATACAGGTTGTGCTTTTATTTTACTGCATTCTGACGTCATAACTATGTCAAGTTATTTGAAACATATTATTCATAGGTACTTACTATTCTTATTCCTAAAATCTACTTTGATCCCAAATGTAACTTGTCGTATGTATAAAGTAGTCGAGTAAAGTACACATATCAAACGTTAACCATTTAGACCGATAACTGTTATTGGCCTACGTGGCTATAACGCGTTATTGCAGTACCTTCATGAAATAATATACAGAATACTTCATCTTAGTAAAGGAAAGTCGTTTTGTATGTAGCTTTAAGTATTTTTGGTAACTAATACAGACGTTTATGGAGCGCTTTAGGCTCTCATAATATTCATAAAGTTAATTGAATAAACAAATGGATATTATGAATATTTAGCTATGCTTTTCGTCGTATTGACCCTGATACTGTGTTATTTTTTTATCGAATATACGTAAGATGAAACACTTAATGGTTTAAAAACGAACACCTTGTTGTGAAAAGGATTGAAAACTATTTATAAACGAAATTGATATAGCTATTTTTACTAAAATAATGTGTGAACTCATTGATTCGTAGCCAACCAGCATTCAATTACTATTTGTCTTCTAATTTCAAATTTTACTTCTGAACTTCTTTTTTTGGATATAAAAGAGCACCAGAAAATTCCACAGAATATAAATCCAGAACGATTATGCCTACACACTAAGTCTCTCATAAAGCGAGCTTACCGAATATCGACGTAATATGAGGTATTAAAATATCTCTATATTCGGTAAACGTAAAGCCCTTTCATCATTGAACATTAGGCCCTCATAACCGTAAAAACTGTTGGTGAAATAGTAAAGTCTGCCGGCCTTCTTGCTCATAACTTTCAATGTTATTGGCTGTTATATTAATAGTAATATACTGCACAACGGAGGTAAGTTTATCAATAGAGGGGTTTGGGGTGGCGCCACTGGTAGTGACTTAAATAATTATGTTTGTATTTGCTTTTGCGATGCACGTAGCGAGTTAGAAGCGTGTGTTTTATTGGGTTGAAGTTACATAGTATTATTATTAATTATATACTGCGTATTTCTTTGCGCATTTGCGCTGTTTTATGAAAGTTTTTATAACAATTAACCCTGTCATGACAGATTTCCACTACTTATGAACAAGTTACACACTACGACATGTGAAGTATTTTTTTCTTGGATTACGTAAACAACGTCTCACCATAAAATATCAACTTCAGACTTCATTTCTGATATCAAATAAAAACTTCAATAAAATTTACGTTTGCAATTTACTATTTTTCGAATTCCGATGACAAATGCCAATAGTATTACGGCAACGAATTGCAATATGTGAAGTATTGCATTCCTTGTTTTATATAACAGCGATAGGCCAATAATAAAGTCAGTAGCTAGACATATTTGTGACTACAGACTCACTTGTCAATTTTATGCCTTTGTACTGCTATTGTTTATCGACAGTTGTGAATAATCCATCAGACAGACTGGTGTCACAGAATACAATCGTGAAGTAGTAACGTAATGCTCAGACTGTGTTGCAGATAGATAGGTCGCCATTTAGGTACCAAGGTGCTAAACACGGTCCAGGGTGCTTACTCTTGAAACCAATCTCAATGTCAATGCAATTTTAATCCAATAAAATCTCAATAATTATCCAATGTCAAAACTATACAACCCCTATCGTAGCTGCTAAAGTAGCATTTAGAGTACGGAGTATAAAACCAAACTCAATACCATTTAGTTCATTCACTATCCACGCAAAACGGATGCAATAGGCGCTAGTGTTACAACTCAAGAGTACGAAATTTCACAATGTCAATGTCGATCGATCGGAATTAGATTCAAGAGTAAGCACCCAGGAGTTGGAACGTTTTTAGTTAACGAGAGTTAAACTTAAAGATATTAAAATAAATTCATTTCTAATTGCAATATGAATAAAGTAACTACATAGATTTATGTATTGTGTAATAAATACACACTCAAGATACCTTCCCATCTATATTTTGTAATATTTTAAAATGTAAAGTATAAATAAACATTGCAGTACAAACACTTAGTTCAAACAAGAACGATACACCATTCTATATAAAATTCTATAAACAACGTGAAACGAAGAAGAAATAATATTTTCCAAGCAATTTTTAAAAGTCGCTTCCATTTTGTATTTACTTTGGTTCAGTTAGAAACATGTATTTATGTAAAAGTAAACAATTTGAATATGCATATCATTCGCTATGTTTTATTTCTCTTAGTAGAACGTAGTTCTATTAAACGGAATATAAATTGAAAATATAAACCATTTATTAATAATAATTTATATATTTATATTAGGACAGAATGTGAACTATAAATGGAAAGTACCTATGTTTCTTTATTGTCTTGTTTTCGTTTAATTTTAAGTCTACTTAGTGATAGTACCCACCTAAGAAAACTAAAGAGTTATCTAGGCTGCTTTCTTTGACCACGCGGTGAGTTATAAAAAAATAATACTAATTAGTTTTTAGTCTTAGCTCCCTTCCGAACTACGGGTGAGCCGCGCGGCTAGTCGCTGCCTGCCGTTGACCGCTTTTCCAATTCAATATGCAACCGCTATGGCAATTGGGTCTGTACGATACGAACTTGACTGATACGAACCGCCGAAGCGGTCAATCGCTAGTGCGTCCTTACGCACTAGCGATTGACCCCCTTGGCTCTAGTTACTAGTAGCGACATCTGGTGTCACAGTATGTAACTTTTCTACTTTTGTCTATGTTTATAAAAAAGTAAGAAAGTAGT